CATTAGCATAAAAAAGACACTCTTATTTACCCAGGAAATTCTAAGAGTTTTGGCTCCTGAGTGCCAGAGGGACAAAGATCAAGTATTTATTTTTTTTATTACACCACCGGCACCTTCTATTCAGAAACTTCCAGGGCCTCTCTGTACCAACAATGGAGAGCCCAAACTTTTCAGGGTGACCTTTATGCTGCATGCATCTTATCTCCCATCTCCTGGGCTTTGTTCTGGTTCGGGCTGGTTCATCTCACAGATTCCCTTTTTTTGTATCCTGGCCCTTCACCAATTTAAGCATTTCACTAAATCGACATTGAATCAGAGTAGCTCTGAGGCCTCGATTTACTCCGAGATGTGAGGAGCCTCAGAGATGAGCTGATTAAAACCTCTTATTTTATAGATGTGGGACTAGAGACTCAGAGAGATGAATGCATTAGCTCCAGATTGTAGATTTATTATCTCTTGAAAGGCAGAGAGACAGGATTTGTCTCTGAATTTCTGGTGAAGAATGTGAGAATGATGAACTTAAAATTAACCAACTCTTTTGTAAACTTTCAAAAGCACAGATCAGAAGGAAAAACAAAGATTAATTTGATTTTAGCAAATGAAAGATTCCTGTTTGATGAAAGACACTATGGAAATATTAATAGACATAACATAACCAGAACATAGTTACAGTGTCTACAATTGATGACAGATTAATGCCTAGAACTCCTGAAAAGTAAGATAGAGTCAATCCAATATTTAAGAAACAGCAAAGGATGTGAACATGCAGTTAGAGAAGATGCCCAAGAAGTCAGCAAACAAACCAAACTAAGTAGTTTTTAGAAAAATACAAGATTAAACCACAGTGAGAGATACTTTTATACCCTTTGGCAAGCTGGATAATGAGCTTATGGAAGCTCACATCTGTGTGAGGGTGGCTAGAGGAGAGCCTAGAGGTAGCAGAGGGCAGGCAATGTGGCTGAGCTTAGTCAAACTAAGTATACACATTCCTTAGACCAGCAATTCTGCCTTGGGTATGGATCCAAGGAATCCTCACAAGAAGGATCTGCAGGAGATTCTTTTGAGCAGCATATTTGTGGAATTGCAGTATAATTAGCAGGATCTCCAAACTCAGCCCCAGAGGAGCAGATGGTAAAATCGATGGAGATCACAGGACACAACAGCCATACACAGTAGATGCAGTGACATGGACAAATATGAAAAACGATCAGTCTAAGACAAAATTAAGAAACAGAATGAGTGTAGTAATGGGGATGATTACATAATTAAAAAAATGCAAGCACAATAAGAAAGGTTCTGGAGATTAGCAAAGAACACAAAACTGGAAACACTTTAGTTGTCTATGTGGGAGGTAGGGAAAGGCAACAAAAAAGAATCTGACTAAAGATCTGTGTGAATTAAAGGCAGAGGTGAGAATCCTTAATCCAGTTACTTGCTCAGGCCTCTGGGAACATTTAGCTATAGCCAGACTGCAGTCTTCTGGACAGAAAGTGCGGTCAGGACCTTAGGAGCAGGGGCCAGTGAGAGAGGAGGCTGGCCTTTTCCACTATAGTTCCTCTCCTGGCAGCCCGCCAGGTCGGGGAGAATCCTAATCTTACCTATGTGGATGAATCCCTTTGACTTTGTGCTTTGGGGGGATTTCATTAAGTCTCTCAGTGAGTAAACATTAAGGAAGTTTAGACAAAGGGTGTTGGAAATGATGGAGGCGGAAGTGTGGTGTAAATCACACCAGGCTGTCAGAACCTGCTAAACATAGATGAAAACCCAAGTATTCCCTTCCTCACAATCTTTGTTTGTTTGTTTATTTATTTATTTATTTATTTATTTATTTATTTATTTATTTGGCAGTGCACATGGAACTAATCTTTAATTATGAGCTAGAAGGCTGCTAGGGATTTTTGCATTTATCATCTCGTGAACTGTTCACAAAAGTCCACATCGTGGATGGGAGTTATCTCTCCTTTTGCAGCTAGGGAGCAGGATGTCAGAGAAAGTTACCCAGCATGCTCACACTGTGAGAGAATCCATGCTACCTTCCTCATGACTATGGCACACTAGTCCTTCCACTGGACAGTTATACTAACTAGTAGCTTTTGAGCTCCCTTCTAGAGTTTTCTGCCAAGCTTCTGGCCTAGGTACCTGCCCTGTTGCCACCATATCTTTGGGAACTTCTTCAGAAGCTCTCACTGGGCCATGCAGGTCTAGAAAGTCTACACCTCTGTGAGCCTCTCAAGAACAACTGGGGTTTGAGTTAGATCCTAGTTGCTTCCTCTTTGCCTTCCTTACCCTTGAGTCATTAGATATGACGCCTCTAGCCAGGTGCAGTCTTAGAGAGCTGGACATGTCCCACCACAGCACTTTTTCACTCTGAGATGAGTCTCCTTCCTAGCATTCTAGACGTGGCAGGCAGGTGGGTGGGGTAGAAGAACTTTAATAGCAGAACAGCAATAAATTCCGGAGAGTAGATATTATAAACAAAATGACAACAAAAATCTCTGTAAAACCAGAATAAGATGAGATTTATCACATGCTGAAGCTTACAAAAGTAGGATTTTAAGCAGGTCAAATCATGTTTGTTAAATCCCAGATCTGCAGAGTATGTTCTGAGGAAATGCTATCACGAACATGGCCATCAGCCTTATTGTTTCATCAGATCCCCTCTCTTCTCCCTGCCAACATGATACAAGCAATCTAATTTGCCTCTGGCCCCAGTCCAGTGATTTTGCAGGAACTGTAAAAGAAAGCAATTTCATCCAACAAGAAGTATTTTAAACATTCCTGGTGGTGATAGGCTGTAACTTGCTCCAGCCTCACCCAGACACCCTGTCAGAAAAACTTGATATGATGATTAACACCATGAGCTCAATTTGACTTACAGAGGAAAACATTATTATTAGGGAAAACTAAAAAGTCTCATTTTTTCTACTTGGAAGAGTTTATACAACTGTGGAGAAAGGGATGTCACAAAAAGAAAAGTTTACAGAGCTGTGGTTTATATGTGAAATCAAAACAAGCTCTGTAAGGTTTACCTTTCTGGGAGGAAATGGAGACTGAGGCTAGCAACAATTCAGCTCAATATTTATTCTGTCAGGCAGGTCGAGGCAGGTCAGGCAGGTCAACCTGTAGAGCTCCGGTACTCAGAGAACACACAGCATTCTTGGAACCCACAATTCTGATGGTGGTGAGAACCTCTAGATGAACTCTACAACTTAGGGGGTCCATTTGACTTACTGCTGCTTTACCTGTTACCTCAGAACAGAGAGATGCTCCCTGGCTTCTCTCACATCTCTATAATGAGCTGTCCTGTTTGGGGAAAAATACCAAACAACTACACCCTTTTGTCATTTTTTTCTGTCCTCCTTTCTCCAAGTTCCCAGGCAAAAGTGCAACGTGTGCTGCTAACCAGTGTGCTCTTCTCATACAAAGTGTATTGTTAGCCCTCTATATCCCAGCCCGGCCCCCACCACTCCCTCTCTACCCCACAGTGGACTTCACAGATTCGCCCGGGATCCTTGCTCTGTTCTTCCTCTTCTAAAACTCCTAAGATTTCTTGTCTCCAGTTTCTCCACTGTCTTGCTGCATCTCTTTATTATTTTACACAGGGTTAAAATTGAAAGAAAAAGACCTAAATATGTACATATAAACAACTGAATACTATTCAGCAATAAAAAAGATGAGTTCTTATCATTTGAAACAACTTGGATAGAACTAAAGGGAATAATGTTAAATAAATAAATCAGAAGGAGAAGAACAAAGTACTGGATAGAAACAAAACTAAAGGTCAGACAAAACCAAACCAAAAACAAATCCCAGAAATCTGACTGTAGAACTGAGATTAGCAGAGGGGAAGGGGATTGTGGGGGCAAAGTGAGAAGGGGGCCCAATGGACTAAGGTGGAGGGCTATGCGTGCCTTGGTGGTGGGTGTGGTGTGATAACATCTGCAAAGGCATGATCCTTTACCTCTGAATCACATATTGTGTTGTAAACTAATGTTGCCTCAAAAATTTTTTTTAAAAAAGAATCACATATATGCCTTTTGTTTATATTTATTTACTGCTGTGTAGGTAAACTCTTTGACCCTTTTCTAGAATTCAGTTCAACTAAGAAGTCATCACCTCTAACAGAGCAGTTAGGAGCTTGGATTAAATTTTTACTCAGGCTTTAAGAGTCCCTCATCTTTTAAATTGGATTCTCTTCCTAAATCTCTACTGCCAAATTGATTTTATTGAGATTCTTTGAAATGTGTGTTTCAGCGTTTTGGTTCTCTCTGGGAGTTTCTTTCTTAAAAAAATATATATATTATATATACACACACACACACACATATATATATATATATATACATACAGACTCAGTGGTATCTGATAATAAGAACTTTAGTAATTTATGAAATTTATTTATAATTTATTAAGTAAGTGATAAGAACAACTGACATTTATAGGGGCCACATATGTGCCAGGCAACCCTCTGAAGGTAAATATCATTATATCTTAAGGATAATATTATTATTATCCCCCCTTTATAGGGGATGGAACTGAGGCACAGAGAAATAAGTAGCACCCAAAAGCTGGCCTGAACCGGGAACTCACTCCAGGCTATGAATCTAACTGCGGTGAATCTCTGGGGTCAAAGGGCTGATCTGGATAACAATACTCAACCACCTTAACCCTCGATTTCCCTTTCGATAAAATTGAAATAAGACCTTCTTCGGAGGCTTGAGCAGTGCATGAGGGATTCTTGAGGAGTGTACTGCGGCCCCTGGCGCTGGAGAGCAGCCAACGCTCCCACGCATCCTGCTAAACTCCCTCGCAGGCAGGGTGAGCTCCGTTCCTTTTAATTACGCACCCCACAGCGCGGGCCTAACACTATCAGCCTGTTTCAGGCGAATTATCCAAGTGACTTTCACATTTGAATGCACCCGGCACACCGGCTAGAGTCTGGCTTTCTCCCGACTCGGCTCTGATCGCAGGTTTGCCTCCCGGGCTAGCTGCCCCCTTACCATGGCATCGTAGCGTAGGGCGTTCATGAAGTGTGCCACCTCGGTGCCCTTGTACACCGTGAACCAGATGGTGCCCTGGTACTGGTCGCCAGCATCGAGCAGCAGCACATTGGGCTCTTCCTTGCGGATCTCTTTCACCTTGGTGAAGAGCCGCGCCACGCCGCCCACGCAGAGGCTGGCATTGACGCACTTGCTGGAGTCCTGGCTGGTCTGCTCCAGTCGGCTGTGCAAGTCGTTAGTGTGCAGGATGGTGAGCTCCCAGGTGTCGGCCCCGGGCCACAGCAGCGCGCCCAGCGCGAGGAGCCACAGCGCTGGCACTGGTACAGCTTGGGCACGCATGCCTGCCGCGCGTGGAGCAGGCGCCAGTTCCGCTACCGCGCGAGTGGCAGCGAGTGGCTGCAGCTTGCGCGGCGGGCTCCAGAGTTAGGCACCCTGGCGTGCGGGGCGGGGCGGGGCCGGGCCGGGACCAGGGCGGGTCCTTCTTCAGCCCGGAGGCCCGCCCCGAGGTCCTGCGCACGCCCGCGCGCTCACCCTGTGCGACCCTGGCACCTGGGGCAGCCGGGCGCGGCTGGCAGCTGGACCTCGCGTCTCGCAGGAACAGTGCGGAGGTTGTTCCCTGCGGGGAGCGGGCACCAGCCACGATCTCGGCCCACCGGGGAACCTAGGCGCCGGCAGTCCCACTAGTGGGCTCGTGAACTGCTCTTTCTCGGTGGCGAGGGTTGGGTTCAGGGGTGCACCCCGCATGTAGGTCCTCGCTGATTCACGTTCTTTGGAAGAATGGAGTTTTCTAGAGAGGAATGCATGGTTTGTGTTGGGCTTCTGGTTTCGCGAGTTCATCTCTGGAAAGAGAAGAAAGGAAAGCGGAGGGCAAGATGGGACGATGAGAAGAGAGAACCCAGCGCCCAGCTCTTTGGGCTGTGGAAGCCAGAAGTGGATTATGAGACGTGACTGTTCTCTTTTCAGTATGAGAACGCACCAAGTCCACGTTGTTTGGAGGCAGACTCTCAGGTGCTAATAAATCATTCGAATCTATCAATAGCTTCGCGTTTATTCAAGATTAAAATCCAAGTGCACTTTGTTTGGAGGCAGGCTCTCAGGTGCTAATAAATCATTCGAATCTATCAATAGTTTTGCGTTTATTCAAGATTAAAATCTTGGCTGTAAACAGCAGAAGTGCATGGACAGCGCTTGGAGGCTAAAATGGACCATGAGAAGTAAAATCAGCAGCTATGAGGATGTAATGCTGCTTTCTGTTGCTTTTCCAGCCATTGTTTTTCTGTCCTGTTTTGGAGGCTTTAATGTTTTATTTAGTGTGTGTACATGTGCGCGTGCACGCACCTGTTTAATGCGAAGCTTTTAGCAAGGGAGGCAATAATAGGTATGCATAAAATAAACCTCATTACAACTGTATTTAAAATTGCTGCAGAATTCCCTGTTTCAAGGATTGCATACTGACTTTGAATCGAATGTAATTAATAATTTTACTGCTTTGGGAAGAGAAGAGGATCGATTTGGAGTTCTTGCTAGGTGTCCTATGATTTATGCTTTGCAGAATAGTAAATATAGGCTTAGAACTCCAAAATTCATTAAGCCTTATTTAAAATTTGTGATGAAATAAGCATATCAAAAGTTACCATTTTAACTATTTTTTTAAAATATCTTTTAGTGGTAGTGATTCACATTGTATTGCAGTGCAAGCATCCCCACCATCAATCTCCAGAGGTTTTTCATTTTCCCAAACTGAAGCAATAGCTCTCCACTCTCCACTCCCCTTTCCCTTGGGCCTAGTCTGCTTTCTGTCTCCATAAACTTGATAACTCATATGAGTGGAATCATGCAATATTTGTCATTTTGTGAATGACTTATTTCACAACATAATATCCTCGATGTTCACCCATGTTGCATGTTTCAGAACTTCTTTCCTTTTTAAAGATGGAATAAAATTCCATTGTATGTATGTATGTGTGTGTATACACACATGCATAACACGTTTTGTCTATCCAGTCATTTATGGATGGACACTTTGGTTGTTTCCACATTTTGGCTATTGTGAATAATGCTACTATAACTCTAGTGTACAAATACCTATTCAAGTCTCTGCTTTCTATTCTTTTGTGTATATACCCAGAAATGGAGTTGTTCAATCATATGATAGTTCTATGTTTAATTTTTTGAGGAACTGCCATACTTTCTTCTATAACAGCTGTGCCACTTTACATTTTTACCAGAAATGCGCAAAGGTTCTAACTTCTCCACATCCTCACTAACAAATATTTTCTGGTTTTTTATAATAGCCATTCTAAGTGTTTGAAGTAGTAACTTACTGTGGTTTGATTTATATTTCCCTAGTGATTTAGTGAAGTTAAGCATCTTTTCATGTACTTATTAGCTATTTGTATGTCTTACTTGGAGAACTGTCTGAAATTGTGGGAGTCTTTATTCTAGATATTAACTTCTAATCAGATTAATGATTTACAGGTATTTTCTCCATTCCATCGGTTGCTTTTTCACTCTGTTGTTAGTGTCCTTTGATGCACAAATGTTTTAAAAATTGATGAAGTCCCATTTATGTATTTTTAGTTTTATTACCTATGCTTTTAGTGTCACATCCAAGAAATCACTGCCAAATCTGATGTCATGAAGTTTTTTCTCTAATGTTTTCTTCTAAGAGTTTTACAGTATAGGTATTAATTAGGTCTTTGATCTATTATGAATTAATTTTTGCATATAATGAAAGATAAGAGAGCAAGTTCATTCTCTTGCATGTGGCTATGCAGTTTTCCCAACACCACTTATTGAAAAGACTGTTCTTGACAGCCCTGATTTTAGGATATGGGCCTTGAAGCTTAGGTTATAATTAGTCAAGATTTTTCACAGAAACAGAATCAATAGGATAATCTATATCTATATGTATCTGTCTATCCATCCATCACATATATATATCCCATAAGGTATTGAGATGTGTGGATATCTCATAAGGTACTGAGATGGGTATATATATGTGTATATATATATATATATATATCATAAGGTATTGATAAATGTATATATATCTTAAGGTATTGAGATCTATCTATCTACCTATCTAACTATATCTCATAAGGTATTGGCTATTATGATTATGGGGGCTAAGAAATTCCATGACCTGCCAGCTGGAAGCCTTCCTAGGAAAACCAATAGTGTCACTTGAAAGGCCTGAGTGCCAGAAAGTGATTTTACCCTTCTATCTTTTTTTTTCTATCCAAGCCCTCAATAGACAGGACAATTCCCATTCACAATGAAAAGGACCATCTGCTTTATGTGGTTCATCAATTCAAATACTAATCTCTTCCATAAATACCCTTACAGACACAACCAGAAGTAATATTTAACTAGATGTTTAGGTATCCAGTGACCCAAAATGACACATAAAATTAACCATTGTAGAGAGAGTGAATATTTGTCCAGGGAAGCCCATACAGATTGAAAGCAACCAAACTTGGGACCACAGTGACCTTTTCCCCTGAAATGCTACAACTCCATTTGTCAAGTCACAGTCGACTTGGAATCATAGGTTAGCTGTGATACAAAGATTTTGGAAAAAAAATTCACTCTGGGGGCCTCCCTGGTGGCGCAGGCGGTTGAGCGCAGTGCTGTGAAGCTGTCAGCAGCCTCTGCAGCATGGGTTTGATCCCGGCTGGCCAGTGAGAATCCCACATGGCGAAGCAGACCTCTCCTATCAGCAGTGTATTTTGCCAGTCTGCCTGTTCTGTTCCCCACGCTGTCTCTGGTGAATCCTCTCAACCTCCCGCGCATCTGGCCTGTAGCCCGGTTCTTGTATAAATAAAAATAAATCTTTAAAAAAAAAATCAATTCTGTTTTCACAGAATGAAAGCATTCTGTGAGAACAAATTCATTATATGACATTTACAGTAAAGTGTATTGAATATTTGTTATTATTTATAAATTGTGTGTTATATCGGGCAACACCACACTGACAAAGACACAGGAGTAATGGAGCAGGCTACACAATGCAGGATGCTGTTGACAGCAAGATCCTGGTTGTTTTTATTGATAAATAATCATAGAGCATCAGCTACATGCTGTAGGAGGACAAGGAGAAAAGGCTGGGTGAAACTCAGGAATGTCATCTAGGGCTTGGGGGGACATGAGTGCTGACCATGTTATCAGCTTGATGACCAAGTGTTGTAATCGAAACTGGACCCCAGACCTCCGGGCATGGCCCTGATCTTATCAGCAAGGCATTCCATGATCAGCTTCTGGGGTCCCTTGTCATACATTGGTCTTCGGCCCCCTGGGCATTCCAGGTCATACCTCATGATGTATGAGTCAGGAGTAAGTTTATTCATCTGTCCTCTACCCCCCTGGGCATTCCCGGTCATACCTCTTGATGCATACCCTTCCCAGAGTGATCAAGCTTTCTGCTCTTGATAGATATGAAAGGCAGCTTGGAAAGTTTGGTTCCTATGGCTAATTGACCGGTTCTAAAGGGCATTTCTGACCTTGTATAGAAATGCAGAACTGCAGGTAACCATAATGGCAGCTGAACAGGCCACTGAATTCTAGCAGACCCACAGTTATAATCCTTTAGATCAGTAAAATTCATAATCAACTTGTGTGTCTGAATGCATGCCTTTTTTTGAGAGTCAGTTGTTATACATTTATCTGCATACCACAGGAGTTATCTAATGGATTAATTTGTTTCTTTTGTGATGTCAATCTATTTTATATCTTCAGTAAAATATCCACCTCTCTTTAAATATGCTGGCACATTGTATTTATTTAGGTGAAGTGAATTAAAAATCTGAGCCCGGCTTTGAAATGAATATCAGGATCTACTTGCTCATAGGCATCCTGTCACACTGGGTTACATTGCTAAAGGGTTGATACTAATATTTTCATTTTACTGGCAAGAAAACTCACTGTGATGTTTAAATTGGGCTGCAGAATTTGTCCAAGATCACTAAACTAGTAGGTGGTAGAAAATATTTTGAATACAATTGAATTTAGGCTACATTGTTAAGTTTTCACAAAATTGTTAAAGGGTAGATCTAGTGTTCTTTTACCTTCAGACTTGATTGGGTAGAGAGAAATAGTTAGCATCGCTGAGCCTTGTCTGAGAAATATTGCCTCTTATTATTTCTTCTTATTATTATTTCCTCTTATTATTTCTTCTTATTTCCTCTTATAAGTGTAAAAGTGTAATATGTTCTGGCATAATATTGTTACTTGCCAATTCTGGTTATTTCTAAAATATTGTATGTCATAAAAATTCAGCAAACTTCCTTGTCAATTGCTCTACAATCAGATTGTAATTATGGCTTTTAAAAAGTCTTTTGCAACTTACAGAAATATTAATTTACTCCATGTTTCGAGGGATTCACAGGACAATGACTGGGAAATACTCTAAGAAAAAGGGTTAT